ATGTTTCTTATACTAATCGATTCTCATTTTCTAACGAAGATAATGGAATTCTAGTTACATTATATTACCATACCATTACAGTTCACTGTTTACGAAGAAAAATAATGACTGGGTATATTCAGGAAAGTATGTACACAGGTCTTACAATCTACTAAAGTATAATTATGGATTAGAGTAGCTTGGCGTAATAAAGTAACCACACAGACAAAATATATTCCCTCTCGATAAAAATATGTATGGACAAACTGATCCATATTTACATGTTAGACAAGCGGAAAAACCCACTAAACTCCAATTGGTCCGCTCGTTGGTGAAGCGCAAAACCGCGACCATTCTTTAATAGTTTTTTCTGGTGAGCACATCATAACCATGGCAAATTCAATTTTGGAAACCGTTCATCCGTATATAAATTTACTGCGAATTTTCGGAATATTTATAGGAAAACGAAACGATCGTTTACCGATTCAAATATTCATGATTCATGGGTATTTTATATCCACATTTCTGGTTTTTCTGTTGCTTCCGAAACGTATTTCGCTACCATTCGTAAAATTCCAGTGGTTTGAGTGTTGCGGCTTTCCGGGATTTTGGGAAAATGTAGGACAAAATGCTCGATTAATAGCGTTTGTTATAGTCATGGTTACTCCGACATGTTTGTATATTTATAACAAAAAGGCCGGTGACATTATGAAAGTGCTCGAGTTTACTGACGAACGTGTAAAATCCGCAGGCAAACTCTGTGTACGATTACAACGTTACCAAGACGTCATCGTGTACTTTTTCAGTTGCGTTAGTGTGTTTTCGTGTATCGGTTCGTGTGCCATTTACATATTTTGCAGGAATTATTACGGATATGACGAGTCGTCTACTCTAGAAGTATTTTGCGCTTTTCACATGGTGTCGAGTGTTTATATTATTATTAACATCACGTGCTATGGCATGGGATTTCTCTGGGTTCTTACTTTCTTTGCCGTTCACTTATTAGAAACACACATCTTGGACACGAAAGAAAAATTAAGCGAACCAGGAATGACGAATAAAAAGGCTTTATCCGAATTATCGTCTATTTGTTACGCTATTAAAATCGTGAATGAAATTTTTGAAAATGCTCACACCGTGCTGGTCTTAGTACTCGTTCCGGTGGTGTGCATTCTGTATATCTACGTGTTGCTTCAAATGAAACTGAACTTAGAACTGCTCATTTGTATGGTTTTGTTTAGCGTTATTTTAACTCCTACATTATCGTATTTTCTATACATAACATCAATTCCTGGTAACGTAAGTTAATTGTTTTTATAAATTAATTATAATGATTTTTAACTGAATGCCTGACTTAAAAATAAATTAAAAATTATAAACTTTAATTATTTAGATGCGCAGGTTTGTTTCTTGTATCATGGACATATATTTTCAGAATGATAATGATAACTGGACTGTAAGTAATATTTTAAAACGCCTTGAAATTTTAATCGTATTTATTTTATAAAATTAAATATGTAGTAAGGATTTGATAATCCGGCACTCGATAGGAGATAACTGCTCGATAATAATCAAGAGTGCTATTATTTAGCTAATCTGTTCGGTTTTGTTTCATGGGATACCAAACGCGACATGTGTCGATGCCCGAAAGAAGTGAGTGCCTTCTGTAAACATATGAGAAACTGGCTCCTATTTGGCAGCTAGACATGTCATTCCATAAGAAATATAAGTTCATACATACACTGGTCCTTGCTCTGCCAATAGCTGCAACGCTATTATCCTAGTTTAATAAACATTTCTGCCACTTCGAGCGCTTCGATCGCACGTAGTCTGAAATTTGGCAGCACCATGAGGGGAGTTTGCTGTAAACATTCGAAATTCTCTGAATATATGAAATTTTCTTGTTTTAAACGCAGATATTTGTTTTGTTATTTTAAAAAAACCGCTTAATAATACTATTTTAATTCAGATTTAAACATTATTTATTCGTAAATGTCGTAATATTTACATTTTAATTAGATAGGAAGATAAAAATTCAGTAGATTTTGTTCTTGGATTTTAAATATAGGCTGTCAGAGAAAAAATGGGGTATCTCAACTATTTATAAAACATATTCAACATATCTAGAAGCACATAATGGCAATATCATTAGAAAATAATGATTTATAAGTTGAAAAACAAAATAGGTAAATGTCGGATGCGAGTGTTCAGACAGTTTTATTAGATATTGACAGTGTTAATGATTCGTGATGACTGAAGGCAAAATGTTGTTTGTTAGCTTATGGCAACGCAACGCTTTGGCGATCTGCATAGGGGAATGCTTTCCGGAAGGTCTTTGTAAGGGAAACTGGCCCCTGTTTTGGCGATAAAGACGTAGAAAACGCTCGGTAAACTTCACGTGGCACGCTCGTCCGAGCGAGGCACGAATTTACGGAACTGCCAACTTTTAAGAAATGGAAGCTAAAAGAATGATATGTTAGTGATATTATAAACTTGTATAAATAAAAGGCAAGTGTAGTAGGCCATCAAAAAATTCTCATTCATATTTTTCTTTTGATAATGCAGAATATTAGGGGAGATCGGGGCAACTTCGGCAAGCGGGGCAAGTTTGTCAAGCGCTTTTTTTAATAAACAAATTAAAAGGAGACTTTGGTTATAGGTTAGGCAGTTGAGTTTTATTAGTGGCTTGTTGAGTGTAGTGTTTTTATTGTTCTCCAACAAGCGTAGTTGAATTATCAAGCAAATTTTCATTTTCGTTCAATTCCATATAATATTTTTTTTCCATTTATATTGAATTGGCAGGTTTTGTTATAATTCCATGATAACGAAAGTTACTTTTCCTGTTAGAAGGATGTAACTTCAACTTATTCACGTGGCCAGATCGTGGCTTGGCATTCTGTTCTCAGGGTTGTACTTAATGTTTCGAAATCATGACTAGCGGGGTAAGATCGGCAACATAAAGCCACATTAGAAGCAAAGGATAAAAATCAAACAGATGATAAATGAAAACATGTTTGCATTTGTTATTCATGTATATATGTCTTTGAACTTGCATTTCGTTGTAATAATATTAAATGGGTGTTGGATTTGTATTTCTTTGTTTTAATAGTGAATTCCAACTTATACATTGTTAATAACATAATTTTATATACGTGCCTATCTTGCCCCATTACTGTTGCCCCTATACCAGGGGCAACTTTAATAAAAATAATTAAAATAATTACAACTTTACAAAAAGAGAGAAGTTGCCGATCTTGCCCCTATACCCGGGGCAACTTCGTCAATTTCTCTCTTCTTGTAAAGTTGTAATTATTTTAATTATTTTTATTTCCAAACTGATTTTAACCAGTTCTATAGTAAGGTAACATTCCAATAGACAATATGCAAAGCTTTTTTTTCAGTTTACAGCAGTAGTTATTACACAAAATTTAAGTAAAGCTTAACATGCCGATCTTGCCCCGATCTCCCCTATATATTTTTTTTGTTTTAACATAGAAAATGAAAAGAGTAAAAGAAAGTGGGGCATCTTACCGTCATAAAAGAAAAGCTAAGTTAGAAAATATTAGAAAAAATGAAGGGGCTTTACTTAAATACGCGAAACGTCCTGTTCCTGAGACGTCAGATTCCATGTTGAACTTAAATTTATCAAAGACAACTGGGCCTTCAAACCCAGAACAAGCTAAAAAAATACAAGAACTTGCCACTGTTGATCAGGTACCTGTTAGAAATGTTGACATTGTTCCTGAAGATCAAATTCCAACAACATCTACTCAATTAGAGTCTGCATCTGTATGTCTACACATGGACCTCGATAGCTTAGAAACAGAGACTGATACAGCGTCAGCATTGTCTGCTATTCAATACCGAAACTTGGACGACATCGGAAACTGGCCTGAACACATAGATGAAAATATGCGATCGCATCTCATTCAGCAAGGCCAGGAAGTTGTTCAGCATATCAATACTAACTTTACCGTAGCGTCAACAGTAACACGTTCAGATTCGTGTTCTTTAACATCAAAAGGAGAGACAAGACGGCTTACCCAGGAATGGTTTTACCGCACATTAAGTAACGGCGAAAAAGTTTTACGTACTTGGATGGCTTATTCTCCTTCCAAAGCATCATTATTTTGCTTTTGCTGTCGTTTATTTGAGAACGTAAACACACCGAATGGATCAAAGTTTTGCTCATCTGATGGATTTAATACTTGGTGGAAATTAAATCCTAAGGTTTCAAGTCACGAATCAAGTGCACTACACAACCAAAATTATTGCAAATGGAAGGAGTTGGAGACCAGACTTAAAAAAGGACAGACTATTGACAAGACGGAGCAAAACTTAGTGGCAGGGGAAACAAAAAAAAAATGGCAAGAAATTCTTATCAGAATGTTTGATATTATACATTTCCTTGCCAAACAAAATTTGGCTTTACGTGGCCATACAGAAAACGACACTAGTGCTAATAGAGGAAACTTTTTAGAATTGGTGCATTTAATTGCAAAGTACGATCCTGTTCTTCGTGAACATCTTGTAAGATCTAAAATGTGTGGCAAAATTTCAATTACATATATGTCACCAAAAATCCAAAACGAATTTATTGCAATTTTGGGAAATAAAGTTCGCCAACATATCATCGGACAAATAAAAAAGGCAAAGTATTATTCGATTATTTTCGACAGCACTCCAGACATTTCTCATAAAGACGAAACAAGCCAGGTATTAAGATACGTAGTGATTGAAAATCAGGAAGTACAAGTAGAGGAAGTATCATTGAAACAAAAGATAAAACTGCTGAAGGAATTTCAAAGATGATTTTGAGCAAGCTTGAAGCTGATGGCCTCGATATAAGCAACTGTAGAGGCCAAGCATATGATAATGCTGCTGTTATGGCTGGAAGGCATTCAGGAGTTCAGCAAAGAATTAAATAAATCCCAAAATTGAATTCGTACCTTGCTCAAATCATTCGTTAAACCTGGCTTGTTTACACGCTGCCTCAGTTGAGACGAGTTCCGTAACTTTTTTGGCACATTAGAACGTTGCTATTCATTTTTTTCCATGTCCACACATCGTTGGGAATTTCTGATAGCAGCTACAGGTAAAAGTTTAAAAAGAGTTCAAGATACGCGGTGGAGTGCAAGAGGCGATGCCGTAGAAATGACATTGCATCATTACAAAGACATTCTCTTCACTTTGGAAAAACTGACAGAAATAGGTGAAAGCTTAAACACAAGAACAGATGCAGGAATTTTGCTAGTTGCGATGCAGTCATTTTCCTTTCTTTCTTTCTTGGGCCTCTGGCAACCGGTGCTACATGAAGTGAATGACGCACAAAAATATTTACAAACAAAGGGACTTGACATAAGACTGTGCGCTCAGAAAGTAAATGCTTTGCAGATGGTACTGATAGAGAAACGAGAGGGATGGGCAGATGGCGCTGTAAATTATGCAAAAAATCTGTGTGAAGAACTTGGCATTTCCATGAAACCTCAGAGGCGCATAACGAGAAGGCACATTTTTGATGACGGAACCAGAGATGCCAACTTGTCTTATGAAAATGAGTTGAGACGGAAGCTGTTTTATTCGTTAAATAGAATAATTGTAGAAATTCGTGAGCGTTTCCAGCAGCTACAGAATTTGGCGGATAAGTTTGCTTATCTAACGCCGGCTATATTACTAGATTCGGACGATACTAAATGTAATCTAGACTACGTATCTGCCGAAATTGACGAGCAGGACTTCAAGCTGGAACGACTTCGACTGCGGACTTTTATTGCTGCCACAGGCAACGAAAATAAATTAATTAATGCGGACTCACTTGAATTATTAAAATTTATTGTGAAATCCAAGCTGGAAGATTCTCTACCCAATATTATAATAATGCTCCGAATATTCCTCACAATTGCCATAAGTAATGCCAGCTGTGAGAGGAGTTTTTCAAAATTGAAATTGATCAAAAATTATTTAAGATCATCTATGAGTACTTTAAGGCTAACCAATCTGGCTATCTTGTCTATTGAGCAAAAGGTATGTGATGCTATAGACCTTGATAGTGCAATAAAAGACTTTGCTCTTAAAAAAAGTAGACGAATAAAGTTTTAGTTAAAGACAGAAGTTTTGTTTTTAATTCTAACAATTGTATTATTTTTTAATAAAAAATATAAATAGTAAAAGTATCGTTCTAGTTCTAATTGGAAGTCGATTTGTGTTTTATATTCAATTCGTTAATAACCTAATCTTGTCGATCGTCAAGGTATAATCATGTGTTTTATACCTGTTATATCAATGTAAGTGGCATACGTGTAAAAATTTTTGCAATAAATATTATTATTATATTGTAAAACATATATACATGACTNTATAATCACACATCTTTGCAGAACATAAGAATTAATAAATTTTAAACAATTTTACTTGTTAAAAGTAAAATTGTTTTAAAAAGGTTAGATTAAAATGACCTATATTGTTGTGAAAACACAAAATTTATTTTTTTCGCTAGAAAAGGTTAATAGTTGATACATCCAATAGCATAATTTTTTCATAAAGTACTGTACTTAGATGTAGCTAATATGCTGGCTTGCAATATTTTCATTGTCAAAGTGTTTATTTTCATTTAAAAAAAAATATTTTTATCATAGTGATTATAGTTGAAGTACAGTTCTCTTATGAATTGTAATATTTTTGTCTTATTTATAATTCTAATTTTTTCATGCATAATTCTCTTTGCAATATGTTTGTTTTTTTTACATAGGGAGCTGTCAAGATTTGGCACATTTTATATTGCATATTATTATTTCAATACAATTATAAAAACCAGTTAAAATTGTAGCATTTAATTCTTTCAATGTTTCACTTTTTAAGAATTTTTTTTCTCTCCTCCTCATCTCATATTGTCTTTGATCATTTTTCTACTTCAAGTTTTTGGAACTTCTCTCTTGAACTAATTATCTACAAAATTATTATTGCTTGCTGCAGTTTTTAATTTAAAAAGGATATTCAAGATATATCATAAAAATATCATCAAAAGATTGTTACAGCTAAGGAATTTTGTTGAAAAGTTGAAAGTAATTTACTTTTATGTAAATTCTCTCACGATTCCCTTGATTAATGAGCAATTATGTCATTTTAATAGAATAAAATTTTACTATAGATGACATACATGAATAATAATCACAGTACTGAGTAATTTTAGGAAGTTCTGTAAAAGTGAACTGCGGCCAAAGTTCACGTTTTAGAGAAGAAAACTGTGGCCGCAACCTCGCTTTTGTACAGTATATCTTTTCTCTATATTGTGTGAATAATTAAAATATATAGTAATAAAAGAAAAAATTAAAATTACTTTTTTAAAATACAATTATTGGGCCATTTATTAATCAGTTTGATCTTTTGTATAATCAATTATCATAAACTTTTTTCTTAAAATATTATATTTTTTTTAAAGTAAGATAAGAACATAATGAAACACTAGAAGAAATAGAGTTGTATTAACATAATTAATTGATACCCACACCAAATCTTGACATGTTTTCTTTTATACATTCAAGTTTTTAGTTAGTACACTTCATTGACAGACATATTACTTATTATTAGTAACATTTTCTTAAAAAGATTTTCCAAATCAGCATTTAACAATTCATTAGGCTATTCTAGAATTATGAAACCGTTGAATTATTTTTATTATTTCTGTTTATTTTGCTATAAATGTTACAAGTTTATAGCAAAATTTCTGAATTTTTAAAAATTTTTAAGCTTTTATAGTGATTGTAAACTGAGCTTAAATCTTTGATTTCCAACTTTTATATACAGCAATTAAGCATAAATAAGTCTGAACATTTTAACTTATTGTTTGTTAATATGCTTCCTCTTGAACTCTCATTGAATGCAATTATGATTTTTTGATCCAGTAGCTGATTTAAAACATTTATAATTTTTTCTATATCTTTGGATTGAATCTCAAAAATATAAATACTGACAATTTGGTCTTACAATATAAAATTACTATTAATTAAATAACCAAATTGATAAATCTATCTATATTTTTAAACTTTTTCTTTTACACTCACATTTAAAATAGAATGAAGTAATAAATGCTCCCTATGTGACAGCACTGTTTGCTAGCTTAGTGGAGGTACTCTGCCAGACAAGAATGTTAAAACCGTTTGCATCATTACATAAGAAAGCTGTGTAAAATGAAAGTATTTAGCAATAAAGCACATACATGCCTGTTATCCTATGCATCGAGTATTTTTCACCATTTATATTGCTAAATTTATTCAGCGTGACAGCATCATATATCATATTTATGCATTTTTATATAATTTGATATATATAATACTTGTAAAATTGCTGTTTTAAATGTGAAGTTGGAATTTACCATAATTACCTATCAGTTCAGATTTGCATGTTTACAATTTGTCTGTTTGTTGGTAGTCCAAACATGAATAAAGTTATAACAGAAGTGTGCTTTACTGGAGCTCCCTCAAATTCAAGTTAGCTCCAATATAACAAACTTTTGTTGTGATTTAAAGAATTTGGATTTGGAGTTGGTTTCATTATTTATAAATCACTTTTGGATATTTAAGATGCGTTTGTGTACATAATTTCAATTACATACAATAAAAACCATGTAGTCTATAATCAATTACAAAATATATTTGATATTTACCTTGCAATGTTTTTATTTTTGACCTACAATTTAACAACAAACAGCTAAAGTGCATAATTTCATATACAGAGGTATCAATTATTCAAGAGTTGATATAAAATTGTTTTATCAAATTTGTTCAAATCATTATTGTGGAACAGAATTCTTATTTTTGTTGTTTTTGTGATTATATGATCTAAATGATGTCAGAGTTTTTATAATTACATCAGAATTACATGAAGCAGTTATTTTATAATAAACAATTATAAAATAATATAATTTCATCACTTATTATTATTATATAAGTGATGAAACTGAACTCCATGATTTATTAATTTGAATGTGTTGGTGCTACAGTTTCATAAAATTTTTCAAATAATTTATATTCAATATACGATTTTTTTCATATACCACTTCAAAATCGATTGAGACCTAAAGTCGGTCCGACGATCGAGATAATACACATTTTTATGTAAATCTGACTTCATTATTTCTCATTGTAAAATCGAAGAAGGAATGTCAAATTGACGTAAAAGTGTTTGCTGCACAAACCAGACAGACAGACTCCCAGTTAAATTTGATATAAAAAGTGGCTTTTCGTGTGCAATGCATGGATGATACGGCTCCATTCGTTGTGTTGTGTAGAGATTCGACAATACATTAATGAAACGTTTTTAATTGTGTAATTATCAAAGTAAAATTCACTTTTATTATCCATCATTTATATATGTTACAATGCTGTATTATATTGATTGTTGAGGATGGAAGTGAAAGTGTGAATTTGTTTGTTACAATGCTAATTTTCAGAGGAAATTTATTTATCAAAATGTAAGGTATTGTTTTTGTGTTTGAATTTACCGTCATATGTTTTTATTTAGAAATTAAGTTTGAAAAATGAGAAATCTGTAAAGCTATTGATACGCGATCCGTAAGTTTTTATCAAGAAGTAATGCATTCTTTTATGTCTATTAAAATATCAATATAATTACCCTCTCTTGGAATTTATTACTGCAGAATATGCTAAATAGTCGACTGATATTGCGCCACCATCGAAAATTGTTTGTAGTTAATATTTGTATTATAGTAGAATTTAAGATCAAACGATTCTATGGATATTCCGATAAAACTTTGTATATATTATACGAAAATGAATTATATAAATTCTACTTAATGTTAAAGCAAGTTCCTATATTTTGACGAAATCTTTGTGTAAATTAAAATCATCCCTAATTATATATCTGATTTTCGGTATCGTTTTAGAAACAACGTGTTTGTTCGTGTAAAACTTCAATTTTTATCTGGTCCAAGTTTTAATAAATACATTTAGCACACTACATGTAATAATTTCTTTAAATTATGTTTTGTTTACTGTGATTTAAAATTTTCTAATAGACACAACTTGTTGTAAATGAGATTTACATGTACTGAAAATTATAGCTTTACAGCAATTTCTCAGCTCTTCTTAATATATTTTTTTAGCTGTTTAGATAATTAAAAATTGCAATGTTGAGAATTGTTGTGAAAGTTTTCTGTCATTATTGGAGTGTGACACTTCTGTCATGTGGTGAACATTATGTCTGGGAATGCAAAAAGATGCGGTTTAGTGAGCTTCGGTGTCGTTCATGTTATAAAGTGCCTGTAATTCGATATTGTGGAAATATAGTTTTTAAAGGATTTATCCTTATAAGCGCTTGTAATAAAGTCGTTGGCTTATTTTCTTTCTAGATTAAATTATAAAAAGAAAATTAGTCATATTTTAATAAGAATAGAACTTTTTACTTTCTCATTAAAATTTTTCTGCAAAATTCATCTGTATAAAAATTCCATGATACTTCTGATCACCAAATGACATTGGTCCGACTAATAACTTATTAATAAATTAGAATAAAGTCGTAAAAATTAGCGAAAGCCGACGATGGCGGACATATGTAACATGTATGCGTGGGCTTCCAACGGTTGCCACATCATTTTTTTTCTTGTCGACTGCTATTTTGTGTTGATAATTTCAGGCCTATTCCTGTGTAAAAACCGCATATAATAAATCATTGGAACTATGAATTTCATCATTAAAAATAATGAATTTGAAATAGTCTCTCTTCAATTGCAAGCAATTATTTGTGGAAATATTTGACACAAATTTTACCGTACGGGATGTTGCGGAAGTCGGACTCGTGGAGAAAATTCAATTCAAATACCGTACAGTGAAACCTCGTTACTTCGAAATTCGAGGGACAAAAAGAAAAAACACGATTTCGAATTATCCGAAGTTCGCGAATCAAATTATGGCAATAGAGAGGTTGCGGCCGAAGTTCAAACGTTAAACTTGTACGGCAAGCAGAAGCACACGTTTGACAAAACACGTTGCGCTACACTCACTGATTTGTGGGATATTGTTGAAAAATGGCGGAAACGTATAACAACGATGAATGTACCGAAGTAAATAAACAAATTAAACTGT